ACTTCGGCAGAACTTAAGACAAATCCTTGAAAACACTTGGCAACAGCTATTCTCATGCATAAGCCTTAAGTGACTGAAGTTTTTAGGTGGGCAGTATCAGATGCTTTTGTCAACAGCTTTGCAGTTAAACGTYTTGCATTAGCAGCCACTTGCCTCTCACGGCTGCTGAGCTTTACTGTGCTCGGACTATGTAAAAGGCCGGACTATGCAAAAGGCTTTGTCTTTGAAAAGGGCAGCTCATCTGGCAGTTCAAACTAAGTCATTCGGTCTCCCAYTAGTCTCCTCCCCCACCCCTCAGTGCCAGTGCCTTAGCTGGAAGGGATCAGGGAGTTAAAACAAATAAACAAACAAACCCACCCCAGTAGCCTAGGGAACTTTCCTACCTTACCTGCGCACCTCCTGAAGGGCATAAGGGAAGGGAAAGAAACTGGAAATATGTCCACATCCACTTTACATCAATGAACATATTAAGTTTTAGGGTCGCTCTGCAAACCGCAGTGTTTGCAATTGTATTGTATGTAGGTGTGAACCTTGAACTTCAGCTTGGAAGTGCTCAGAAACAGTGCATATTTATCAAGTTTTGTACTAAAACTGAAAAACTCCAGGGAACAAATCTAGAACGAAACTYCATTGCCCTCATCTTCCCCATTCCACTCCCAAATGCAAAATAAAGCCCTGCAAATGCACTTGTTAGTATTTTGGGGTGGAGAAGACTGCCTTGTTGTAGAAGATATGTAATATAGGAGGAAAATTACTATCAAGTCTCTTACAGTTGTTTCCTTTAGCATAATCTCCTTGTGTGCCACATATACCCTAGAAGAGGCTCCTCTTAAAAAGTCTTCTAAAAGTTTGACCACAGCACTGGACTCCAAGTCTAAACATTTAAGTTTCTAAAGCTCTCTCTCAGGCCTTCTGTTTACAGTCAAATAAAGACCTCACTTATTTGTTCTTATACTTAGTATGTTTGTCTGCTTCTCCTAAATGGAGCTGGCAGTTTCTCTTTTCATTTTATTATTCTGTTTTGAAAGTAATCATTTTCACTTATCTTCAAATTCTTTTTTTTTTTCTTTTCACCAGCCTTGAGGTTTATCAATGGGAAGTATTTAATTTCTTAATGGCTGTGGTGGGCCAGTAAAAACGATTTCCCAGTAAACAAGTCCTGGGCCAGGGTTGCCAACCTTTGCTCATGCGAATAGTGACAGGAGGGTCAAGAGGGCTCCTCCTTGCATGAATAGCTCCTTTATCATTAAGCTGGTATTTCACAATCAGGATGGAGCAATGAAGAGTAAAAGTAAGGAACTGGAGAAGAGGGAAATGAATGCATTGCCTTACATAGACTKCTGTCTCCAAAACTTTATTCTACAACAGGGTAAGCAAAGGTGTGATCACTGGATTCCACAGTCGCCCTTCTCCTCCTCAAGATTTYCTGGAGCTTTGGGCCACAGCAGCAAATTGCAAGGACAAATCATAGATTTTATCAAGTCTCTGCTCTACTTTGTACTGTTACAATTAAGTTTCTAGAATATCAATAAATATGGTGTGATTACACCAATATTAGTAATTCTTCTTTTACAGCTGTTCCACAATGTTATGAGACATTTCTATCACAACATAATTGTACTGAAATCAGGAATTGTGCAACCTCTTCTCTCTAAATAAATATGGTTGTGTCTGAGTCTCTTTAGAGGTCTAGATAATTTGTCATGTGAAGTGTCTTGTTTTCGGTGTCATTTTGTCATTTGAGCAAATCACTTTATGCAGAAAATCATGACAGAAGCCCTATAGGCAGCAACCAGTCATTCACCTTTAACATTCATGTCAAAGAAGCATTATTCCAATAAGAATTTAAGTACTTCTTTCTTTAAGTCTTATTTTTCTAATAACTAATATATAGTAGATATATTTATATATAGTAAGATAACTAATGTGGCACCTGTAGTAACAAGAAGAAATTGGATTCTTCACACAAAAGACTTCTAAATGCTGTTTTTAAATTAGCTTATTTTTTAAGCATTTGTCTCATTCAGAATTGGGGAAAAACAGGCCTACAATACTCAGCTTGTGAGTTTTGTGAAAGTGTCTGTTAAACACATTGCAATAAACATTTATTGCAGTGTATTTCTACTGTAATCAGATGTTATGAAACCTTCTATTACAGACTATAAACTTTAGATTATATTTGACCTAATACAGCCCCTTTAATAAATAATCAGTTAAACTGTCAGTATAGACACAGCAGCTTGTATGTGTCTTAAGAGTCTGCACTGATAAGCTACTTGTCTTTTTAAGTGGTTAAGATCACACTACAACTCTAACTTTGTAGCCACTCCACACACCAAATTCCCATTGCACTTACAGCCAACATTAGGCTCAGCTGGGCTCAGAACTAGGCTGGGTGGCCAAAAGATCAGCAGCGAGATCTGTGTCTGAATAAGTCAATCCTTGTCACCTTTCAGCCTGGTTTTGGAAACAAAATTGGTATTATTAGTTCAATTTGAACATTTCTTTGCATCCTTTCCTATTATTAACAATTACTTTAAAATTTACACTTGGTGATGATGTTTGAATAACTTCACTCAGTGCATGTTTTAAATGGGCATGTTAAAGAGGGTATCAGTGAAAGGATGGAGAAGCTCAAAGCAGTTGTGTAGATTCACATGTCAATGACAATGACAGCAGGCAGAAGGAGAGAAAAGCCTCTGAGATGAACTGAAGGCCTCACAAAAGCTGAAAAAAATGAGACAAGTCATGCAAAATCCCCAAAACAAGTTCAGGGATTCCATGGAAGAGCCTCAAAATAAGAACCAAACAAAGCTGAAGACTAGGAAAAGATCCACTTCTTAATCAACAGTATTCTGGATGTGCTGGATCCATTCTGGATGCAAGAGAATAAATTTGTAGTTTTAACGTGAAAACAGGATGACCAGGTTTTCCCAAAAGAGAACAAACATTAGTAAAGTTGTAAAGAATCAGGACAACACAACAGAAAACAAAATAAAACAAAAAAAAACATGGCCTGTAGCTGAGAAAGGACAGCTATGGAGAGTGTTTCCTACATTTTTTACGGTTTACTCAAGATGAAACCCTAGCATCCTTACATGATACTTTTATCCCCTATTTAATTGAACTGGGCTGGATTTCACCCTACCTTCCTTCTCCATAGGAAATGCTACCCCCTTCCCTCTCATCACTTCTCACATAAAAGGTTAATAAGAAGAGCAGCAAAAGCACAAGTCTGGAAGGAAGTAAGCAGAAGTTTCAAGTCACCAATAAGGGGGAAAGAAGTGCAAGAGAAGCCTTATATTTAGCCAAGCTGAGCTTGAGCTGACAAAAGATCCATGAGGAATCATCACCCCACCAAGATCGGATATGAAAAGTAAGGCAGGACTGGGAGCAGCAGAGGATGAGGATGCCATCAGGAACTCATGCACACTGAGGACAGAAGTCCTTCCACATGGTGCTGCGCAGAGATGCTCAAACTGGACACCCTGCTCTGCCTATAGCTTCAACTATCGTTCTTCTTCTCATTGCTTCTGTGCCCATCCCCACACGATACTGAGCAATACCATGCACACAATTCTAGCCAACTGCCTTAGAATTTTAAAGAACCATTAGTTAAATCCCCTAGATCCTCTCCAACCAATATGATTTTCATCCTAAATTGAGCTAGAATCCAAATTCCAATTTATATTTGCAGCATACTATGCTTAAATGCCTACTCTGCCCCAGGTAATGGTTTTCATTAGAGATGTCTGGGATAAACCCAGGTACGTTTCCAGCACAGGCAGACACACTTCCCCACAGCGTGGCTTGTCTTTATTTCCTGCATCCCTCTACATGTAGTTCCAAGCCTTCATCCACCCTTTCTATAGTGCACAGAGTTGTGTTTAAGATGGTTAACAGCAAAGGACACTACCCCACAGCAACAGAAAACTCCGCTATCTGAAGCGGACAGAAAACCAGTCACCAAATGAAGAAAGAATCTAAACCACAAACGTTTTAGAAGAACCACATTCTCTTTCCAGGTATTGATTATACCAGTGGAACTAATGGGTCATTATCCCAGTCTTCCTTATTTTAGCATTTTACTAGGTTTCTAGGTTTTTAGTGAATTAAATAATAATAAAATAAAAATAAACGACCAGATCTAGTCAATACATATCTGAAATAAAGAAAAACTGTCCCCAGTGACTCATTTTCGCCACTGGAGCCCCATATATGTGGGCAGATTATTTTTGCAGCTCGCCAGCGCTTGCGACCCTATTTCCATGGACATGTCCCCTGCAGAACGGCACAGAGCAAGTTCAAACTGCTCCAGGATTTACTACAGGCTATCGACTAGCAATTAGTTTTGAAGGGGCATTCTAGCAGATAAGCGAGATGGGGCGATTATCGTCTCCTTAGGGCCCGGGAAGGAAGCTCTCCCGGAATCAGGCGCGCAGCGAGCCCAAGGGCTGCGGCCGCCCCTGCGCGGCGGGACACTCACTTCGGGCCAGTTTCCCGAGCCCTTCCTTCAGACTGACCTCGCAGCCCTCAACACACACGCACGTCCTCCGCATAACGAGGGTATTCAGGGAAAAAAGGGAAAAAAAAAAAAAAAAAAGCAGCCGGGTAGAGGAGGGCACGGAAGGAGGGCAGGGGAAGGAGGGCGCGGGAAGCCTCCCCCTCTGCCCCAGACAGAGCCCCCATTGAGGCAGGCAGCGGCGCTGGGGGCCGCGACAAGCGCCGCATTCAGCGCCCGGGCGCTGCGCTGGCGGGGCTCGGCGCTGCCCCCCCGCCCCGGGAGCTCCCCAAAGCCCCAGCACCGGGCAGCAACGGCGGCCAAATGCGCACGGGAGGAAGCCCGCGCTCCCGTCGCCGCCACGGGCGGGCAGGGAGCAGGGAGGCAAGGCGGCACCCGCGGGGGATCCCGCGGCGCTCGCTGCAGGGCCGGCCCCGGCGCCGAGCCCGCCGTGCCCCCCGGCTCGCGCCGCGGCACCTGCGCGGCCGCCCCGCKCTACCTGCAGGATCTTGTCCAGCCCCTCCTGGCCCAGGCAGGGGAACTGCTTGAGCAGCTCCGTCTTCTGCCGCTTGTAGTCGTCGGTCGCCGAGCGCCAGTGCGGCTCCTCCAGCACCTCGAAGATCGCCGCGCCGATGGACAGGTAGAAGATGATGGCCGAGGTCAGCAAGGGGCCTCTGTCCACCATGGTGCCGGCGGGCGGGCCCCGCAGCGGCGCGGAGCGGAGCGG